AGCGGGAGTGGGGGCTGGCGGTCCCTGGGAGAAGAGGGGCCTGGGCTCGTTGAGGCTGAACCCCCCACGGCCAGCAGAAAGCCCCGAGCCGCTGGGAGGAGACGGCCACGTGGACTTGCTGGCTGTGGTCGGTCAGCGCCCGCTCCCTGGCCGGCGGTGGTAAATAAATGGACAGGCGAGCGCCTGCCGCTCAGCGCTCTCAGCCCCTTTCAGTAGCGGCACCGGGCAGCGGCTCGGCGGTCAGCACGGCTGGCCAGGCCCGCTGGGCCGCCCTCCTGGACGCGAGGGCGGTGTCTGTTCTGGGCCTGCCGCGCCCCGCCCGTGCCCACACGAGCCCGTCGGCGCTGGCCTGCCCCTCCCGGCCGGCACTGGACTCGGGGAGAGACACACCGCGGCCCCGGGGGACCCCGTGCGCCGAGGCCTGGCCGGTCCAGCCGCGGTCGTCCTGCCCGTCCCGCTGCACCTGGCGGGGCCGGGGAGCCCCGCTCTCGGCGGAGAGGCCCGGGCCACCCCCTGGCCCCGTTTCTGGGCCTCAGCACCTCCGTGGTGACCCCATGGGGAGGTGGCCCCTCTCCGCACCCCCCACGGCCGGGCCTGTGGGTCGAGCCCGCAGTGCTGAGGGTGCTGGGTTGGTTTTTAGCGGCCCCCGTGCTGCGTGACACTGGACAGCCCCGCTCCGTGGGGAGACCCGTGACGGCTGGCGGACACCCCGCGGCCGTCGGGGGCTCGCCGCTGTCTGGGCCCCGTGTGTGGTTTCTGGCTTACGAAAAGGCGCTGGGATCTCAGCCCGGCCGGCCGAGCGGACGCCGCCCCGTGTACCCCTCTGTGCCGGGCTGGCGCACGTCACCGTCCGTCCCCCCGGCCTGAAGGGAGAGACGGCAGGTACTAAGCGAGGGGGGGCTGGAGAGGACACGGCTGCCCGGTCGCACTGGGCACAGGGGACCCTGGACACTGGGTCCCTCCCTCCCGCCGCGGCCCCGCGGAGTCTGGCCCTGGCCTGCTGCTCGGCCGCTGTTGAGCCCGGGCGGGGGGCGGGGGGCTGCTGGGAGGTGACCTCCTCACTCAGCTGGAAGCTGGGGCTCCCCTGGGGCTTTCCCGGCCCTGCTGTGCCTCGGCTTGAGAGGTGAACAGTGGGGAGTCGCCCTCCGCTTAAAGACTGCTGTCCCCACCCGTCTCCCTCTGTCTGGCCTCCCTCCCTCCTGTCAGTCCACCGCCCGTCCGCCCCTGCCCGCAGAGCCCTGCCTGGGCGCTCACGGAGTGTCAGGTGACCCCGGGTGGGGGGCCACGGGCACCTGACGCCGGGCCCCGGCAGTGTGGCTAGTGAGTACCCAGCGCGGGCTGGGGCTGGGGGGCAGGAGGCCCCCTCACAGCCCCAGTCTGCACCATGGCCCAGTGCCTGGTCTCCCACCCGCAGCGTGCGAGGACGGGCAGGCCTGAGCGGGCAGTGGCGAGGACACGTGCCTGGCCCTCCGTCCAGGCATGGGCCCCAGCCGGAGCCCTACGCCGCCCTCGCTCACTCTCTCCTGCAGAGGGGACAAGTCCTGGCAGTGCCCTCCTGGTGGCCTGCAGGGGCGTGATGGTGACCGGCAGGGTGGGAGGCGTGGCCACTCCTCAGGAAACGTTCTGTTCTCACCTAATGGCCCCTTCCGTTCCGAAAACAATGCTTGAGAAATGGCCGTCTGGGGCCCTCCCTGGTGGCGCAGCGGGTTACGGCGCAGCTCTGCACGCCGGCCTCGGCAGCTTAGGTGCGAGTTCGATCCCCGCCTGCCCGGAGGTGACCACAGGGCGCGGCAGGCCTCTCCTGACCCGCCCACTGCCCCCCTCAGCAGTGGACTCCATCCACCTGCCTGTTCTGCTCCCCGCTCTGACTGTGGAGAGTCCCCTCACTACCTCTGCCCTGTACCCCAGTTCCGTATGCATAAAGAATAGATCTTATGAAAAGAAAGAAATGGCTGTCTGGAAAGCAGGCCTCGCGCTCTCCCAGGAGGGGTCTCCGCCGAGGCGCTTCGTTTCAGCTCCTGTCCTTGTGCGGAAACCGGGTTCCGGGTGGGCTTCGACGGGCCAGTAATAAGCCGCCGGCAAGTCAGTTACGGGAAGACGGAGGGGTTCCCCTCCAGCCCCGACTCCGGAGACCCGAGCTGAGCTGGCTGGCCCCGGGGGGGGGCTGGTCCCGGGGAGACGCCACCTCCAGTGGCCTGCCGCTGCGGCCAGGGACTCTGGGGAAGCGCCCTCCCTCTCTGCACTGCACTTTCTGCAGTTCAGGCTGGGAGAGTCACAGCCTTCCAGAACCGCCTGACTGGGTCGGATCCCCCTGGAGAAATGGTCGCGTGCGGTCCGGCCCATGAGGAGCCCCGAAGCCCAGCAGGGAGCCCTGCGCCCCGGGACCCCTGCCCCAGCCACGAGGGCCTTGAGCGTCCTGCTCCCAGCGGTGCCCCCCTCGCTCTGCAGCTCCTGCGGGTCCCGCCCTGCCCGCTGCCCCGACGAGGGGGCTCTGCCAACCTGCGCCTGGGCCTGCAGGGGCTCCCGGCCCGGGGCGCCCCGCTCGCTGGGGCTGGGGCTGGGTGCGTCGGCGCCTCCCCGCCCCCGGGACATTCCAGGGCTGGTCTGAGTGAGAGAATCCCGTCTGTTTCCGGTGGCACAGCCCACAGATGTCCCTTCGCCTTCGACGACTTCCTCCAGGGCCGGGCAGGGGAGTCACCTCAAAGCAGGGCACGGGGGCCCAGAGACTGGCCAGGCCGCGGCCTCCGTGCCCCGAGCCCTGGCCCCGGGCGCGGCCCTCTGTGGGTCCTGGACCAGCTGGCCCTGCTCTGCCGTCCCACGGTGCCGGGCGCTTCCTTACATTGTCGTCTGTTTCTCCGGCGAGGAAGTGACCTACGTGGGACTTTCCTCCGTGGACACACTTCACGCACGGAGCTCCCGGTGCGGGGGCGGGGCGGCAGGTCCCCCTGCCTCAGGCCGTGAAGGGCCAGTCACAGCTCCCGCAAGGAGGGAGCAGACCGCAGGACGCCGCAGGGTGTCCTTCCGAGTGGACATCGGCTCTGAAAAGGTCCGCCTTCAGTGGCTCTGGCGCCCCTCCCTGGGCGGTCACTTCCACGATCAGTGGTTCTGGTGTCCCTCTGTGGGCGGTCACTTCCACGGTCACGGGCTTGTGTGTGCATTTGTATCTGCACTACGGGGTGAGTCACTCATCAGAACATTGCAGCAGGTCTTACAGCAACGTAGAACAAAAAGTCTCTCGTGAGGGTACATGGTTTTTTTTTTTTTAAGATTTACTTATTGATGCATACAGAACTGGGGTACAGGCCAGAGGTGCAGGGGCGGCGAGAGGATTCACCAGGGACAGAGTGGGGAGCAGAACAGGCCGGCTGATGAAGTCCACTGCTGAGGGGGGCAGTAAGCAGGTCAGGAGAGGCCTGCTGCGCCCTGTGGTCACCTCCGGGGCTGGATCGAACTCGTGCTGAAGTGGCTTCAGCTTCTCGGTGCTGGGCTTTAGCCCGCTGCGCCCCAGGGAGGCCCGGTAGGTGGTGTTCAGTGCAGCGTGGCTGAGGCCGGTGCTCAGGCTACTAACAGGACAGAGGCCACAGCCGCCGCCGTCCTGCAGGTGGTGGCCGTGTGCCAGCAAACTCCTGCGTGCCGCGGCGCCCGGGACCCACCTTGGACGCCACCCTCTCCAGGGCTGCGCAGCTGGGGGGCAGAAGCAGCCAGGGAGCCCAGGCGTGCGCCCTGAGAGCTCTGCGGCGTTGGCGTGGACATGCCGCGTGGGGTGGCGGCGTGTCGGGGTCGGGCGGTGCTGCCCGCCCTTCCTCCCCGTGCGGATCGTCCGCAGTGCCGGCACAGCCGCGCGCAGAGGCTGTCCAGGGCGCCCGTCGTGTCGGGGCCGGGGTGCAGCTCGTCCCTTGGCGCCGTCTGCCTCCGAGGGCTCGTGGTCACGTGGGCTTCGAGGAAGCCGCTGGCGGCCACGGCCCCTTTGCTGTTCTGTTCTTTGGAGCTTCACTGAGCTTTAGGCCTCCTGGGCCAGGCGTCACGCCGGCTTGCGGACTTCTGAGGAAACGGTCCGTGGCCCGGCGGGGCCTCTGCGGTGGCCGGCCGTGGGCTGGAGACGCAGAGCCACGGAGTCGCGGCCGGCAGGCCGTGCAGGTGGAGGATCCGGGCCGGCCAGTCACGGCTGTCGTGCCTCTGGCCTGCGGGTGTGG